AAAACCAAGAGTCAGATGCTTAACCGACAGAGCCACCCAGGCTCCCCTCTAAAGAAAAACTTTTGGAGACTTTAATATAACAGGACTCTTTGGGAGAGAAATTTACCTGAGCAGATGCCACTTGGATGTTTTTATAAGGTTCTGTTTAGTGCAACATTTCTGGGGCACGTTTTACATGAAGAAATGTCAAAAGTAATAAAATCTTACTTTTGGATTTGCATAATCCTCCCTTTTAAAAATTGTTAATGGGAGGTTATAAACCCTGTAATAAGATAAGTACATTACATAGTTTGTCTTAAAGGTGTTCCCGGTTGAAGAAAATCTTAATTTGCATTCTCCTTTATCTGAGAAGGTTAACCTTTTGGTGGTTTGGGCTTAGTCTTGAGTGCTGATTGCTACCAATCATCTTAAGGAATAAGTGTTTCCAGGGCATCCGGCCAGCTCTGTCGGAGGAGCATGTGACTCTTGATCTCAGGGTTCTGAGTTCGAGCCCCACAAGGGCTGCAGAGCTTACTTAAGTAAATAAAACTTAAAAAAGAGGAATTAGGAACGTTGTCCATTTGGCCAGCATGTCGGCTTCAAATTGTTTCTAATTTGACATTCAAAAGTATGCATGTTTATTGTTTGATGTTTTCTTCCTTGACTTGAGGATCCTGAGAGAAACCATTTCATCCTAATTGCTGGGGAGCCATTAGGAGAACCAGTTGTCCAGCATGGTAAGCCCCAAATGATGACAATTTTCCTGGGTGATTTTCTCCTTTGAAAGTAGTGTACCAATATAGTATTATTACTGGGAAGAGTAGCTGTATTTTCCTCTTGTCTCTTTATCTGCAAAGATTTTGTAGGAGTAAAATACATACATGGCACTTATTTCTACATTCATTCTCTGTTTCTTGTAAAGAGACATTTCCTGAGTACCTATCATGTGGACGACATTGAACTTAGAACTATGGGGAAAACAAAAACGGTGTTTTGCGTTGCGTCATAGGGAACTTGAACTTAAAGAAATGTTTTGTGGTCTGCTGCTTGAATATCATTTTTATCTTTACTAAAAACAACAGTGATTTCAATACCATTTGTAGTCTATTGCATTTTTTGTGAAAAATAGGGACCACTTAAAAATATTCCTTTGGAAGTATGTGAATTATTTGAATCAGTATTAAAAAAAAAAACAGAGGCAGAAAATCCTGGAATAAGTATCCAGTCACCTCACTTCTTTGCCTTAACTTCCTCATAATATTGTTGTTTTATTAAATGAGAAAGGATGTAGACGCCAACATATTATTAGTTCGTTTTTATTAAAAAATGTTTTTGCCGGGGCTCCTGGGTGGCTCAGTCAGTTAAGCGTCTGACTTCGTCTCAGGTCATGGGTTCAAGCCCTGTGTCAGGCTCTGTGCTGACAGCTTGGAGCCTGGAGCCTGCTTCAGATTCTGTGTCTCCCTCTCTCTGTGCCCCTCCCCCACTCATGCTGTCTCTCTCTCTCCCTCTCTCATAAATAAACATTAAAAAATTTAAAAAACATTTTGCCAACTTATTTAGATAAATGCCTATAAAACATATATTATTAAATTTAGCATGCATTAAAATCCCATTATATTGCCTTGCATGAATTCCCACACATAAACCATGATTTCAGGAAAGAAAACAACCCAGCTGGTCATACATTTAAAGAACACTGATAGTTTACAAACTATTCTTCTGTGGAGTGCCTGGCTGGCTCAGGCAGCCAGGTGTGTGACTCTTGATCTCAGGGTTGTGAATTCGAGCCCCACACTGGGTGTAGAGATTACTTAAAAATATAAAAAAAATTTTTTTAATATTCTTTCTTGTTCGATTAATGACTTACAGGAAAAACATTAAATTGTACTCCACTAAGCATGTAGCATCTGACCTCCATTTTGCATGCTTCAATTTCCACTCCAAAGGCTCGTGGTTCTTGCTTCCTTTTATCTTGCTGGAAGAGGGCCGAAATAGTTTGTTCTTCTGGAGAAAGCCTGAAGACAGATTGAGAGGAGTCACGATGTTTATTAACAGCAACTAGAATTTAGGTGCGCAAAGGATGTGTGGGATCTGAGGCTTTTGAGTTTAAAGATCTCCTCTGCACCAATGAGGAAAACCCAGAGTCTGACCAAACTCGGTGACAGACCAAAGCGCTGGGACTGCTCGGAGCCATCCTCCATTTGTGTTAGGCGACGCCTGTCTCAGAGGCTTGGATCTCAGGAACACTGCATGTGCCCGTACGTTCAAACTCCGAGTAACCAGACCAGATAGATATGGCCCTTGACATCTCCGTTAATGAGAGGCAAAGCATCTTGTTTGGCTGGCTAGTTCTTTTTTATAACTCTTTAAACCCCAGAAAGTTTTTCTTTTACCTGTGCACATTTAAAGACAGCCACAACCATCTTCCGGCTGTTTGGGAAGTGTACCAGTGTAATGAACTAGCTAAGGACCTTTAAGCATGGAATGTCGTCGAATGTTGGAATAGGAAACGTCCTCAGCATCAATGTAGTCCTGGCCCTTTTTATAAGGGAGGGAAACAAAATCAATATACTTAATTTATTTACCTAACAGATACTTGGGTAGCATGTCTCATTTACTAGGATTGGTCCAAGTGCTTGCCGCAAATTCACCTACTCTTCAGGACAACCTTAGGAGGTTGGGTTGCCCGTTGCTCTGCCCTGTGGCTTCCCTGATGGGAAATGATGGTTAGTAGTGGAGCTGGGATTCGAACCCTGGTCTTCTGACCCCATGTTTTGTGCTGTCCGCCACACCTAGGTTCTACATAACGAGAGATTGAACCCATGCCATTTTTATTACTCGGGAGGCAGTGTAAAGGTTTAACTAGAGAAAAGATGAAAACTGTAGTTTGAAAGAGTATTTATGAGATTATTGATAACTATCAAATAATTTGCATGTCTATAACCCGTAGAGTTGATCAATTGAAAAGCATGCTTTCTGGGGGATGGAATGTACAGCCTGGCAGCTACAATTAATCATACTATAGTGCATGTTAGAAAGTTGCTAAGGGAACAGGCCTTAAACGTTCTCATCACAAGAAACGAAATCTGCAACTGTGTGTGCTGATGGATATTAACTAGATTTATTGTGATCGTTTCACAATATCTGCAAATATCGAATCATTACGTTGTCCGTCTTGAGACCAATACAAGGTATATCAATTATACCTCAACTTAAAAAAATAAGAAACTTAGTGATACAGTATGCAAAAAACGAAAGGAAAAGAAAAACAAAAACCTGCTCTCTGGTTATAGTTTTCTTCTCCTTCTTAAGGATTTGAGGAGACAAGCTCCCTCAGCTCGGTGTTGGAGGGCTCCAAGCTTGCTTCCCGCGTTTCTCCCAGTGTGGTCCATGAACCAACAGTATGTGCATCACTAGAAAGTTAGTAAGAAATGCAGTCTCAGACCCCACTCTAGACCTCCTGAATCAGAATATGCATTTTAAATTTTTTTTTTTCAACGTTTATTTATTTTTGGGACAGAGACAGAGCATGAATGGGGGAGGGGCAGAGAGAGAGGGAGACACAGAATCGGAAACAGGCTCCAGGCTCCGAGCCATCAGCCCAGAGCCCGACGCGGGGCTCGAACTCACGGACCGCGAGATGGTGACCTGGCTGAAGTCGGACGCTTAACCGACTGCGCCACCCAGGCGCCCCAGAATATGCATTTTAATAAGATTCCCGGGTGATTCATGTGCACATTCTGAATTGAGAAGCACGGCAGAATACCCCAGGGGAGTGTCAAAATGGAAGCCCAGAAGTGCACCATTTTTAGAGAAAAATAATTGGGAGACAGGAGAGGTGCTCCATGAGTCCAAACTGTCGTGATATTATGTTGTGCGAGAAATTGGTCCTTGGCCCAGGATCTGCTCTCATTTTCTGAGTTCCATCTCCCTTTCTTCTGTGTGTCTTTTAAAAGTTGGCTTTTCCAGGGTGCCCTCTTGGACTGATTATTTATTTTGCACATCAGGGCTCCCTCATTCTTTCCTATCCGATATAGGCCAAGTGTCTGTTTCCAGATGAAATTTCTCTCCTGAGCCCCAGATCCATGTTTCTGACAATATATCAAGTCCCTCTGTCAGGAAGCCATTCCGTTGTCTCCAGTACCTTCATGTCACAGTATCCAGAGCTGAACACCTTGCTGTACCCACAGCCTCCTGTGTCCTGTATCCCAGCTGCCCTTAACAGTTCCACCACCAAAACTCAGCCTCTTAGGCCACACACCGTCTCTACCCTGATGCCAAAATCTTTAAAAACTGCAAATCAGATGACGTTACTATCTGCTTAACCCTCGGGTGACCCCTGATCACCTGCAGAATTACCCCCACAGTTCTGCCCGTAGAAGGCATCCAAAGCCTACTGGAGTCTGCCCTCTTCCTGCCTGTCAGGCGCCTCATTCTTTTCCCCCTTCGATCCCTCCTTCTAGCACTGTACCCCCATCCTCCAAACCTAGGAATTAGACAAAGGTGCCAACAAACTGCATGTTTTTGTAAATAAAGTTTTATTGGAACACATCCATCTCTATTCACTTTCCTATTGTCTGTGGCTACTTTTGCGCTTCAACGGAAGAGCTGAGTAGTTGAGACAGGCACTGTTTGACCCACAAAATCTAAAATACGTACTGTCTGGCCCTTTACAGAAAAAGTTTGCCAGCCCCCCTGACTTGTAATTTTTATAACCTCCTATTTACTGTCAGTGAGTTGCTGCAAATGTCCAAAGATGACTTAAACTCCTCATGTAAGTATGCAGCCTTGTATACTGCATAGACCCCAAAACCATGATGAAATTTGCCAGTTCCTTGCATCAGATCGGTTCAATTCTTGACATCAGCTAATGCTATAAAACTAACAACTCCAGTAAAGCTTCAAAGTTCCTACCACAAGAAAAAATAATTCTATAACTGTGTGTGGTGATGGATGTTAACTAGACTTACCGTGGTGATCATTTCACAACATACACGAATATTGAATCATTACGTTGTCCACCTGAAACTAATGTTGTTTGTCAGTTACACCTCAATAAAAAAAAAGAAGAAGAAGAAAAACTAACAACTATAAAAATGATTTTGATAGGACCAAACCCAGGGGTGAGTGGATGATGCAATTGCATTTGTGTATCTGGAGTTTGGTCTTTATAGTCGTACACAGTCCTGGTCAAGAAACTTGTATTCTAGTTCTCAGGGATTGGATGCTGCAAAATAACCTTTTACTGTTTAGATATGCCTGGGTCAGTTTCAGATTAAGAACTCTAGGAGTACAGGGGCGCCTAGGTGGCTTAGTTGGATAAGTGTCCGACTTCGGCTCAGATCATGATCTCGAGGTTCGTGAGTTCGAGACCCACATTGGGTTCCCTCTGTCTCCCTCTCCCTGCCCTTCCCTTGCTCGTGCTCACTTTCTCACTCTCTCTTTCTCAAAAATAAACATTAAAACTTTTTTTAAAAAAGAACTCTAGAAATATATACCATTTATAGTGATAGAAGAAAATATTATCGTCACCCAGAACTTACTGAATGTCTCTTTCTCCCCTAGGTCCATTTGTGATGAACACCAATGAAGAGATTTCTCAGGCCATCCTTGATTTCAGAAATGCAAAAAATGGGTTTGAACGAGCCAAAACCTGGAAATCAAAGATTGGAAACTAGTGAAGAGCACAAAAGCAGATCTCAGTACTTTCTAGAATTTTGCCACTTGTGGCATCCATCCATTCAGCATATTCTGTTTCCAAAGCTGACTTAGCCAGTGCTTCTAAAGAATTGCACACTAAAGTGATAACACGGTTTTGATAGCAATGCATGTGAGGTATTTCCCGGTACATGCAAATAAACCTAATTGTTGCTTCTTTAAAAATCAGTGTTCTGGGGCGCCTGGGTGGCGCAGTCGGTTAAGCGTCTGACTTCAGCCAGGTCGCGATCTCGCGGTCCGTGAGTTCGAGCCCCGCGTCAGGCTCTGGGCTGATGGCTCAGAGCCTGGAGCCTGTTTCCCATTCTGTGTCTCCCTCTCTCTCTGCCCCTCCCCCGTTCATGGTCTGTCTCTCTCTGTCCCAAAAATAAATAAACGTTGAAAAAAAAAATTAAAAAAATCAGTGTTCTTCATTTGACCTAACTTATTAAGCTTCTGTTAAAAAAAAAGTCATTTTGTGCATGTTTGGCTTTTCATGTGCTTTTTTTGTGCACAGGTAAGTTTTTTAAGCATATTTGATTGCTTTCTGCGTGTCCCTGGCAGTAGATGTGTGACCATCTGAGGTCCCATCCTGAACAATGCATTGTGGTGCAACATTGACGCCTGTGTGCTGAGGTTTCACGTTACAGGTTATCTGCGTTAAAGGAACAGCAGTCCTGAGGGTTTGAGTCAGTTTTGAAAACTGCCCTGCTATTGGTAGGGACGCGACAGGATTACAGCCAAGACTTCCCTGCATTTTCTGCCAAAATCTGTCAGATTTAGGACACATACTTCTGCAACCTTCCATGAGGGTTGTGAAAAAAAAAAAAGTTTGAATCCAGAATTGGGTTCCAGGCTTCTTGTAGCTGCTAACAGCGGTGGCCGCACCACCTCCTTACAAAGCAGCTAGAACCCGGGGCATAGGGTGGAGAGGTTTGTTTGTTTGTTTAATTTGCTGGACGTGACATGAATTTGGAGTGCTTTTTCATGTCCAGTGGAAGTCATGTCCACCTTCTGATTATTTTTGGAGCATGAGAGCATTTAAAATTTTTTTCATCTCTCTCCCCCCATAAGATTGTGCAGAAATGTTCCTTGACTAATTGAAGTCATTTCATTGGATTTTGATCACAACTGATGATTTGTTTTTCCATGTGAACTCTTAGGGTTTCCTTTCCTTCCGGAGAATGCCTTTTGAAACAGTTTTCTCTAGCTGCCTGATGTCAACTGCTTGGTAATCAGTGGATATTAAAATCTTCAAAATGTACAGACAGTGGGCCGTGGTGAATATTTTCATGATGTCTTATCTGCACCTGGCACAGGGCTCCAGTTACGAACATGGAACGGTGAAGGTAGGTGGCATCATTTTAATGTGATGCAGCTTTTTTTTTTTATTGGCTTGTTCAGAGGACTTTCTTTGCCCCTCATTTTCTAGAAAATATAAAAGCGCAGAACGCTCCTCGTAGTGGACAGGATAGATCTTGCATTGCTAATGAGTATTCTGGATCTTAGGCTTACTAAGATTTTTGCCATGCATATTTGAAAATGCTGTTTTTTGTTTTTGGTTTTTTTTCTGGAGATGTAATAGAACATGAATGAGTTTTCGGGACTCTTTGGTTGGGTAAGTTTCTCCTCATATATGCAGATGGCAGAGTGAATTTCTAATGAAGCACTGATTTGTTTTTATGACCCAGATAACTGTGTGAGTCATTTATTCAGGTTGGTGGGAGCAGCAAACATTAGTCAGTTTAGTTAATTTCATTTGTAAATTGCAAAACTACAGTACTTTCTACAGATGACTTTTATCTGGTTTTCTAGAATTACCCCTTGCCACCATCTAGAAAAATATTTTCTTGGAAGTCGTTTGGTTATTTGCTTTTTGAAATGGGTAAGACTCAGCAGTAATTGAATCCTTAGTTCTACAGGCAAGTCTCAGAGCCTGGGGAATTGAGAGTAACACAAAAGAATTAACTGGAATGTTACTGACTGAGCAGTATTTCGCCCAGTCTTATGTATTTTGTAGATTACATTGTTTTCTTCAGCTTTTTATTTTGAAAATGATTTGGATTTGTTTTGAATTAAATAGTGCTAAATTATTATGGATTTAGGAATTCCTGGCTGTGAACAGTCGAACATGAGCTTGAGTTTCTGTAGCTGTTGTTAGGACATGCATCTTCAGCAGGTGTGATATCGCCCCCAACAGGGGAAAATTGGTCCTTGGGTAAAAAAGTCTTAGTATCAGTCGTATCAAGTACAGATGTCCGTCCGTACAGTGACCAAACACACCTATGGTATGTCTGTAACAAAGATTGAACGCTAGGCTCAGGGGCGGCCACCTGGTGTATCAGTCTACTAATGTCTTTCTAAAGCAAGAAAGTCTCTCTAGCTTTCCAAGAAAAAAAAAAATCTTTCTAGCTTTCTGAACTCAAAATGCACTCAGGAGAGTTCCCAGCCATTCAGCCCCACCTCACTGACCGCAGCCCGCCCTCCGTATTTCCCTGCCAGATGGTAAGTAGAAATGAATCCGCTTCTGAGCCCAGGTGACGGCGAAAATTGGACTTGTTTCAAGCAAATAAGACTTTTCAAGGCTGATCACCTTTTTTAAGTCCATAAAACTCAGGAGTCCTTTAGATGTGTTGGGCCTCTGGAAGCTTCTCCCCCTGCCCCCAACGCCAGTGTTACTCCACGGATTTTAAAAATGTTTTCATTTTACTTTGAACCGTCACTATATTTGATAGTTACAAGAGGAAATTTGGGATTGTTGGAAAGAAGTCATATTCTTTAGGTTGTTCAGCTCTTTTAAAGAGCTTGCACACCAAGAATTCTTCAGGTGTCCCGGGGACGGTGGGGTTTTAAAATGTTCAAATTTACTGGTAACACACGAACCTAATTAGTGGGGCAGCGGAGGAAACTATTTGAATTTGCAGGTGACAGAAGATATGTCCTTGCAAGTGGAAGAGGCAGCACTATATGTAACACCATTAGCAATTTTTCATATAGATCTGAGTTTTTTGTAAAAAGGGAAGGTATGGGGGCACCTGGGTGGCCCAGTTGGTTAAGCGTCCGACTTTAGCTCAGGTCATGATCTCACGGTCTGTGGGTTCGAGCCCTGCGTTGGGCTCTGTGCTGACATCTAGGAGCCTGGAGCCTGCTTCGGATTCTGTGTCTCCCTCTCTCTCTGCCCCTTCCCCACTCACGTTCTGTCTCTTTCTCTCTCAAAAATAAACATTAAAAATTTTTCTTAAAAAACTGAAGTTACATATATTGTGCTCAAACCCACCCAACCCCTCGCTAAATTAAATGTTTCTGATGTGAAGGAAAGCCATGCCTAGAGTAAACAAGTTTTGGCAGAGATGTGACTGGGTAATGTGAGGGATAAGGAGGTGTATCATGTTGGTTATTAGACTTTTCCTTTACCCCCTTTTTCTTCAGAGAAAATCTAAGAAGAATATATTTCTTAATGTTAATGCTCTTCTTATTTAAATTAAAATTCAGTACGGGGGGGTGCCTGGGTGGCTCAGTAAGTCAAGTGTCTGACTTCGGCTCAGGTCATGATCTCGCATTTCACGAGTTTGAGCCCTGTATTGGGCTCTGTGCTGACGGCTCAGAGCCTGGGGCCCGCTTCGGATTCTGTGTCTCCCTCTCTCTCTGCCCCTAACCCACTCGCATTCTGTCTCTGTCTCTCTCAAAAACAAACATTAAAAACAATTTTTTAATTAAGTAATAAATAAAAATCCCAATTTGGACTTGTGGATAAACCTTTACTATAGGACCCTAAGAAAAAAAATAACAGTAATGGTGAATGTTGAACAAGTTCCATTATGGAACCCCTTTTAGGAACCAGCTGATAAAGACATTTTGTGGGACAAAAATACAGTATTTGGATGCATGAATGCTTCCATATAGAGCTTGACATAATAAGATCCCGAGCTGCCAGGCACATTGGCTGGAGGTCCTAGAGAAGTAGGGACACAAATGACAGTGACCTTGTTTCTGAGGACATTAAAAAAAATTTCTTTTTAATGTTTATTCATCTTTGAAAGACAGAGAGCACAAGCAGGGGTAGGGCAGAGAGAGAGGGGGGACACAGAATCTGAAGCAGGCTCCAGGCACTGAGCTGTCAGCACAGAGCCCAACGAGGGGCTTGAACCCACAAACGGTGAGATCATGACCTGAGCCAAAGCCAGACACTCAACTGACTGAGCCACCCAGGTGCCCCTGTTTCTGAGGACATTTTTAAGCATAACTCTTCCTACCACTTGGATGTGACTGAGAGGAGATGAAACGAGACATTTCTTTTGTGGCTTCTATGGTTAGTCCAGTTTTTTCTCTCTCTTGCCACTAGTTCTTATAATCTCTACCAAGATACTAGGACATGATAAACAAGACACCTTGAGGCCTCCCCCGCATCAGGAAAGCTTTGAGCGGTTTGTAATGTCCCAGTTGGTAAAGGATCTCCCTTGCCTCCGGTTGCAATGTAACTGTGTTTGACAATTCATTTACTTCATTGTGGCGAGCCTACTACATCTGGGCACTGATCTCAGTGCTGGAAATGCAACAGGAAAGAAGACCGTGTTTTGACTCTTGTGAACTTCTGTTCCAAGCGTGGCGGGGAGAGGCAGGCAATAGCAAATCTCTAACATGTCAGGGGTAGTGCCGTGGAGCAAATCAAGCAGGAGGAGAGACAGAGTGATGGGCGGGGGAGACTTCTCTGATTCGATGTCACTTGTGCAGACCCCTGAAGGAAGTCAGGCAGGCAAAGGCAACCATTGGGCACTGACCATGGGGGAGGACAAGGAGGTGGCTTGGGTGTTTGGGGATCAGCCAGGGGACCAGTGTGGCTGCAGTAGGGGGAGTGGGGGCCACAGCCACAGGTGTTGTTGAGGTTGGAGAAGTAGCCGGGGCGGATCATAGAGGGTGTGGCTGTGTTCCAATAAAACTTTGTGGACACTGAAATTTGAATTGTAGATCATTTCCATGCATCATGAAATCATCTTTTCATTCGTTTCAACCATTTAAAATTGTAAAAAAGAATTCTTAGTTCACGGGCTATAGTAAAACAGGGTACAGGCTGGATTTGGCCCACAGGTCATAGTCTGTCAACCCTGATCTGTATCATTACATGATTTTATTGTCTGCATAGTCTGTGTTGGTACCTGACATTTTTTTCGGACTGTTTATTTTGAGAGAGAGAGAGACAGTACAAGCAGGGAGGGGCAGAGAGAGAATCCCAAGCAGGCCCCGTGCCGTCAACACTGAGCCCGATGTCTGGCTCGATCTCATGAACCGTGAGATCACGACCTGAGCCGAAACCAAGCGTCGGACACTTAACCGACTGAGCCTCCCAGGCGGCCCGGTACCTGACATTTTTCGTTTGTTTGCATATACGTTTATTACTTTGTCATCTTCCACTAGAAGGAAAGCTTTTTGAGAACAAGAACTTTTCTTTTTTTCTTTGTCTCTTCCTTTTGTTTTGTTTTGTTTTGTTTTGTTTTGTCTTAAGGAGTTGCTTGCGCTCCCTGGTGTTGGCCCCGCACTGCTGCTCCAGCCCCAGCTAGAGTCCCTCTCCCACTATGGCAGCCACTTGGATGCAGAGCACAGGGCGGCCAGCAGGAGGCAGCAGCTCACCGGCCTCTCCAGTCCTGCCTGCGGGGCGCCCTGAGAACAGGAACTTTGCGTGGTCTACTTCAGTGTCCCAGTCACCTAGCACAAAGCCTGTAATAGAGTAGATACCAGAAAAAGTATGGACTGACTGATGGACAAGGCCTGTAGGATCTTGAGATACCCAGGTTATAAATTGTTGCATGAAGCAGTCTCCAACATCTGCTCTCACTGTGGCTTGTCTGATTTCAGTTTTTTACAATCTGAAGCGTTTTTGTTTGTTTGTTTGTTTGTTTTTGGTAGTCTTTATGCCCAACATGGGGCTTAAACTCACGACCCTGAGATTAAGAGTTGCCAGGAGTGCCTGGGTGGCTCAGTTAGTTGAGCGTCCGAGTCTTGATCTTGGTTCAGGTCATGATCTTGCGGTTTGTGAGATTGAGCCCCATGTCGGGCTCTGCACTGATAGCTCAGAGCCTACTTGGGATTCTCTGTCTTCCTCTCTCTGTCCCTCTCCTGTTCACTCGCTTGCTCCGTCTCTCTCCCTCTCAAAATAAATAAATAAACTTTAAAAAAAGGTTGCATGCTGGGGAGCCGGGGTGGCTCGGTTGGTTAAGCGTCCAACTTCAGGTCATGATCTCACCGTTCGTGGGTTTGAGCCCAGTGTCAGTGTAGAGCCTGCTTGGGATTCTGTCTCTCTCCCTCTCTCTCTGCCCCTCCCCTGCTCGTGCTCTCTGTCTGCCACTCCCCTGCT